GTATTTCAAGTAAGCCCTTTTTCTACATTTTAAGTTTTTTTTTTTCAGACTTCTATTTAGGCATTCTGATACTGGGTTCAGGGGTTAACACAAAAATTTGATGTCCGACTTGATTGGAAGTGTTGCCATCACATTTCTTTTTTGGGTTTGTAGAGATGGTGGTACACTTAAAAATTGTCCATGTTCGAGTAAAATTGCAAAAACTCGAAAACGACGAATACTAATAGATGGCTATAAAGGGGTTTGATTATTATCAAAAAATGTGATTTTAATTTGAAATTTTAGTGTTTGTTGTTGTTACTTCTTTTGTAGTTGGTTCACAAAGTATCTCAAACTGTTGTGAGATTATCATCGTTTAGAGTTGTTGATTTGAAACGTATCTTGTTCTTTTTTTTTTTTTTTTTCCAGAAACGTATCTTGTTCGTTATTTTGGTTCTTGGGTACTAATAAATTCTTACTTATCCAAAAAAAAAAAAAAATTGCAGAGACCCGGTTCACCTTATGTGACATGCGACTAGATTTCGGCTTGTTCGAACAATTGCAATTCGGAAAAGGAGCAAAAACCCTTTTCTCTATGCATTAGTTGGATGCATCTAATTAATTAGCTGATTTGCCAACTTCTTTATCTAGCTGTTGCAGAATTATCGCATGCAAGATAAGAAGCCACCTAAAGAGGTCAAAATTACTCGTAACATGTTGAGCACAAACCCAAATTCAGGAAAAATCAAATAAAGAATCCAGCATATAAAAGATTGAATTAAAACTGGTGGAACCAAATTTCATGTCAAAAACTACAGAAATATGATTTTGTAACAGTGAAATGTCAAAGGTTAATAAAAAGTGGATATCTTCGGGATCGATGCAGAAAAGAATTCGCACATTTCACTCTTTCGGGAGGTAAAATGTGCACTGCTTTTGGCCGGGGGTTTTTTGTTTTTTGTTTTTTTTTTCCGTTTGTAAAATTGATCAAAGTCACATGCAACGGCGGGCATTGACATTGTGGACCCAGTCTTACAGAGATGGGAGGGTCCTCCAACTAGCTCTAAGTTTTAAAAAAGAGATAAAACTGCGAAGTAAATCGGGTTATGATTTTCTATCTCAAGTAGTACTGGAAAATTTTAATTTCAGAATTTTTATATTTTTTGTAAACGTATTTTTTTAACACGTTTTTATCTCACATATATTATATCATTATAATATATATATTATAAAAATTTCAGAAAATAACAATACAAATGGCTCAGCTCACAAAAGATATGAATATCATTCTTGAAAATCCAACTAGAATTATTACAATCATGGTCAAATTCAGAGCAAGACATGCTTACGAAACCACTGATAGCACTAGCTAATTTTAACTCTACATCTTATCGTTTTCCTTCTTCTTACTCCCTCCGTCCCACTTTGATAGTTCTATTTTCCTTTTTCGTCTGTCTTAAATTATAGTCCACTTTTCAATTGAAAAATATAATTATATTTTAATTTTTCTAAAATACCCTTATTCAATGTAAGTTGTTGTTACTATAAACCTATCTCATTTAATGAGAGTTGATTCTTTTTTTACCATAAATTCAAGTTTCCATAAAGTTATGCTCTAATTAATGTGAGGGTATTTTAGGAAAATAGCTACCTACATTGATTGTTCCAACAAAGTTAACTACTTTTTCTTAAACTGTGTGAAAAAAAAATCAAAACTATCAAAGTGGGACGGAGGGAGTATTTTTTTTTCCCACCTCCTTTTGGATTTTCATTTAGCGCAGAATCGATTGGTTGTACCACCTCCGAAACATAATAGTCTCGACCAAAATTTGGGTAGATCCGATTTTTAAAAATTCAATGATTCAAATTGCATGACGTCACTTGATGAGTTAGCACGATACAATCTGAATCATTAATAAATCTTTGAAAGTGTTTCCAAGTTTGAGCCAACAGTTTGGCCAAAAGGCAAAAGCATGTTTCTAAGAAAGTAGATATTGACTCGTGGATGCAACTCCACATTTTGGTGTTTGGTTTGGAGTGTAGGACCTTTTTGATTCACGCTCTCTCTGGCTCCCATTCCTGAATCATCCTCCCTTGGCAGGCATTTAAATTAGACATGCAGTCCATGTGGTGGCTATACTTGTGTGTGGGCAATGGTCATAAATAAAGAGAAAAAAAGAAAATGCATGTTGGGGAAAAAAGAATTAGACATTCAGCTACAATAATGCTGGAGGTTGATATGTGGTGCTGTGACATATATGATGGGCAATTGAGCTACAACCGACCAAATATTAAATGGTACTGGCATCGTAAATTGGGTACAATAAATTAAAGAAGAGAAACAGCCAAAAACAAAAAGGAACGAAGAAAGAAAAAAAAAAACCTTAAATAATTTGCTGTTTATGTGTAAAAATCAATAATGATTGGTTTCCTCCGTTTCTAAATTTTCTAGTTGTCCATGTGTATAATTGAATCTTGTGTCTAACTGCCATTTTCTTTGGTTAATAAATGCAAATATTAGACCAACGCTGCGGAAAGCCTTCCACAGAAAAAGCAGTCCACCGGAAACGGCTAAGTTGAATGGGGAGGAAATGAAGAAGAAGAAGAAGAAGAGTAGTGTGGCTGGAAATAATCATGACGGAAATTGGTGGGTTCCAGATGATCGAACTGGAATATTTTATCCTAAAGGCCAAGAAAAAGTCATGGAAGATGTTCCGTCCGGGGCAGCAAAGGATATTGAAGCTATTAATTGGTTCCATAATCATGATTTACAATGAGATTTATGTTCAGCGGCGCGTGAAAGAATTTATTTGTAATTCTTGCAGATTTATTATTATTTCTGTTCTCAATAAAATGTTTCCTCGTGTGGTTAAGGTTATTGATAGCGATGGAACAATTGGGGTGTCGTTAAGTTTTATTTCGTCAATAAAAATAGAACAAGTCATTACTCAAACATTATACGTGCTCGTGAGTTTCAATTATATGTTTGTGTTTTCTTCTTTGTTTCCTCCTATCGAGGCTACATTTTTCAACAATTTTTTTGTCTTTCTTGTTTTATAATTGCTCAAAATTGATAAATGAGGACTAATTCAGATTAGCCTTGTTCGACCGGAGAGACAAAGGAAAACGAGTGTGTTTTGATTGCTGAATTATTTTATATAATATTTTGTTTGCATTATAAATATATTTTTTAATTTATTTTTTTATATTTTTAATTATTATTTTATCTCACATAAATCACATCATAAAAAATACTACAATTATTATTTCAAATAACACTCTATTCAAATAAAATGCAGAGAGATACATGCGCCTAAAGTCTTTTAGTAAAATAATTCCAACAATGTGACTCGTATCACTTAGCCGGTCAATAATAAGATTATTATAATCAAATGCGTCAGACGTTTGTTTGGGGAAGATGTGGTGAATAATCCTCGTGGGGGCACCAATGATATGATGGTTTGGGCTGATGCGCTTGATTGGGACAGGGGGGCAGGAGAATAGGGTAAAGAAGCTGTGCCATGATACAACGGTACAAGGGGGCAAACAATAAAAATAACAATCACAATTAATTCTAATTTTTTTCTTACAAGTGTTTTCGGATATGCATCTTTTAATTTTGCACTTCCGACAAAATTTACTAGAAAATGAATAGCTGAATGTCTAACCTATCAGCAATGCTGTTTTTAGAAGTTTTTATAATACATATATATAATATAACGATATGATACATGTGAAATAAAAAAAATAATTAAAAAATACGTTTATAGAAAAGATAAAAATTTTTTTAAAGAAAACTCCAATCTGAACATATTTTTTATTTGGCTATTACATTTGGAATACATCATTCAAGTTATCATTTGGATAGGAGATTATTTGTTCAAATATATTTGTTTACATTACCATTACAATTTTCAATACACTTTTTTATCTTCTCAATTACCTTTTTATCTCACATACATCACATCACAAAAATTGTAACAGTAAAAATATTTCAAATAATTTACAATCCAAACACACTCAAGACAATCTACCTCAAAATATGACGTGACCTTATAAATAACTCGCGTACTATGCCAACGTCATTTTCCTTGATTTTCCTAGTTAAGGTGTTAACATTAGGAAAACAAAAGACAATAAAAACATGAAAGTCATTCTAATTAGATTAATTTTGTTATCAAAATTTTAATTTTAGGGGAGATTTATATAATTTTATAAACTTTAGGAGAGGCTAGTAAAATTATTAGAAATTTCAGGGAAGGTTTCTAAAAGAAATTATCCCATGACTAAATGAACGTTGAATCCCACCCGCCGGCCGAACTCCGAAGGCCTTCTTCACGCTTCGTCATCAGCCGCTCACACCCCTCCGGCGAAGCTAATTGTGGTAGGTAAAAGCCAACGTGGAAAAGTCTCATCTACATAAGTCAACACATCATCATGTCTACCACCAAACCTTAATCCTTTAGGTGGTCCCATTTCCCCTGGCCCCACCCCCCAAAACAACCGTCCTCAACCAATTCTCAGTCTCTCGGGCCAGGGGACGGACGGCTTAGATTGGTAGTCATTTTTTTGCCCCCCAAACGCAATTTTTTTCTTTCTTTTTTTTTTGAATGGAAAATAATTTTGACATAATTGATATGTATGGTATATGAAATATATATTTTAATGTTGTACATCCATTGCTCTAATAATTTTGGTATTTTTAACATTATTGACGTGTACAGATTCACATGAACTACAATGTGACATATCATACGTGTGAAAACAAGAGTGTGACAAAAAAAAAAAAAAAAAGGTATAAGATATCACAAATGTGGTATAATCCTCATATCTTCTTCTATATTCATTCAATTATAATTTATTCGGGTTTGACAAGGGAAAGTAGCTAGCTCTCAATTCCCACCTACCACACGCCCACAAACCAAAACCCCCCGAATCAATCATGAACATCAAACATCTTTTCTCGGTTTTACCCCTGAACAACCCCCATATACCTGATCATCCTCCATTTCACCAACCAATCCCCTCCATCTACCTACAACAATATGAGCCCCGCATATTAATATTGCCCCATCTGCCCAATGGACTCCCAGGAGAGCAGAATAATTACATCGCGCCTCCTTTTGACTGGTTCCATTTCTTGAATCTCTTAATTTCTTCCCTAGCTTGTAGTAACCCTTCAATAAGCCCTTTTTCAATGGCTGTCAAAACAAAGCAAGAAGAAATCATATTCCGATCAAGGCTCCCTGATATTTACATCCCAAAACATCTGTCCCTGCACACTTACTGTTTCGAAGACCTTCCTAAGTTCAGATCACAGGCTTGTTTGATAAATGGCGCCACCGATGAAATTTACACTTTCGAAGAAGTTGAGCTCACAGCAAGAAGAGTTGCATCCGGGCTTAACAAAGTTGGTATACAGCAAGGAGATACGATCATGATCCTGCTGCCAAACTCGCCGGAATTCGTGTTCGCCTTCCTCGGTGCATCTTTCCGGGGAGCCATATCCTCGATGGCCAATCCATATTTCACCTCTGCCGAAGTCATAAAGCAAGCCAAGGCATCCAACGCAAAGCTCATCATCACGCAAGGCTGTTATGTCGAAAAGGTCAAGGACTATGCATGTGAAAATGGGGTGAAAGTCATGTGCATCGACTCTGCACCGGAAGGTTGTTTACACTTCTCGGAGCTAACCGGGGCCGATGAAAGGGAAATGCCGGACGTCGAGATCAGCCCTGATGATGTGGTGGCGCTGCCGTACTCCTCCGGGACTACTGGACTGCCCAAGGGGGTGATGTTGACCCACAAGGGACTTGTCACTAGCGTGGCACAACAGGTTGACGGAGAAAACCCAAATTTCTATATACACAATCAAGTGATGATGTGCGTTTTGCCTCTGTTCCACATATATTCGCTGAACTCAATTTTGCTATGTGGGTTGAGGGCCGGCACAACAATCTTGATCATGCAGAAATTTGACATAATTCCGTTCTTGGAATTGATTCAAAAATATAAGGTCACAATTGGGCCATTTGTGCCACCAATTGTTCTGGCCATAGCCAAAAGTCCAGAGGTTGATGAATATGACCTTTCGTCGGTGAAGACTGTCATGTCTGGAGCGGCACCATTGGGTAAGGAGCTTGAAGATGCTGTTAGAACCAAATTTCCTAACGCCAAACTTGGTCAGGTAAATGATATAGACTTACTACTAACTACTAGTATAACTTTTTATTGGTTTTAGGCAGGCATAGATTTTTTTTATTTCCCCTTGTTTAGCTTTCATTTCTTTTGGTGTACGACGTATGAGGAATATTTTTGTGGTGGGGGGGAAGCCACGGCACTGGAATTGGAGTGTGTGAATATGCACTTTCCAGCTAGTTTCTAGCACTCTTTTTGAAGACTGTATATTGGCAGAGGTTGAATTAAATGGGGGAGTGCGAAAATCAATTCACTTTTGTGACCTATATGAATTTCAGAACTGAGAACTATCATTTAGTTTAGGTTGCTCCGGGTCAGCATTGAGAAGGATATAGGACTGGAGGCATTAGTCCTATTTGATTGCTGATTGCGGGTCAAAATTACCATGATCTATTATTCTGCGTCCTACAATTTCTTTGTTAGCATCAACTTGGTTTTCCGCTTTTAGTTTTGGGTGTGGGAAGGATGAGGATGGGCAGGATCTATGTAATTTAACATTTTAGCTTTGGGAATTTAATGCTTGTGGGTGAATTTAATGTTTGGAATAATTACGGTAGCACTTTTTTGTGATTGTGATGTAATGTAGGTAAGATAAAAGGGTGATTGAAAATATAAAAAAGTGAATTGAAAAATATGTTTACGGTAAAAACAAAATATTATTTGAAAAAATTTGATATCCAAACATCAACTAAAGAATTAGACTAAGAACTATGCAGGCCTACCAAGATGGGAACAAGAAAACAATGATGCAAAACTTCTTTGTGTGTGTTCTTGTGCGAATATGGTTAGAATACTTGTTCAAAAGTATAAACACAATATTAATTAACAACACATTCTACGTAAATTCTTGTGTGTACTCATACATATGGCCTTGCTTGGATTGCTGTTTTCCATAGAAAAATTTTGTCATTTTCCGTGAACACATTTCCCTATTAGCTTTTTTCCTCACATACATCAAATCGCTACAGTAATTTTTCCATGAAAAATGACGGAAAATGCAATCCAAACGGGAACTCTTCACTGAAAGGGGAAGAAAAATCATTTTCATTTATGATTTATGCTCAATGAAATAGCTTTAAATATGCATTTCTTTCAAAAAAGTTTATATATTTGAGTTCAGAGTATACATAATTTAAAGCCACCGTGGTGACCCAGAAAAATTTCAACCCCACAGGAAAACCAAAGCCAAAAAAAAAAAAAAAAAGAAAAGGAAAGCTGATGATGCATGACTAGACATTAGGGAAAGTAGCTGATTAATTGTCTGATTCAGTTGAGGAACAAATATTAATGGTAGAAAATGCATGCAGGGTTATGGGATGACAGAAGCCGGCCCTGTGCTAGCAATGTGCTCAGCATTTGCTAAGGATCCCTTTGAGGTTAAATCAGGCGGATGTGGTTCCGTTGTTAGAAATGCTGAAATGAAGATTGTAGATCCCGAAACTGGTTCCTCTTTACCCCGAAACCAACCTGGAGAAATCTGCATCAGAGGTGACCAAATCATGAAAGGTAGGTGTGGTTATAAATAGGATGTTATGTGATATATATATATATATTTAACAGAGTCAAAAAGAGTCTCTAAGGCTGCTTATTGGATCTTTATTTGTGTAACTATTTTCTATACTTTAAAAGATATGAACAACATTGTAGGTTGAAATTACAACTCCAAAATTGGAGTTCTACCCATCCACCAAAAAAAAAAAAAAAACTATGGTAAACCAGGTACCTAAAACTCGGAAAATCTAGGTTGTTTCGAGCTGGCGACTGATGGGTCATAATTTAGATGAGGAACAGAATTAGGTAAACCTAACAATGAGAGAAAACAAAAGAATGCTTGTTAATCAAATACACAGAATCATTATGACAATCATCCGTCCTTTTGTAGCCAATATCAGGGAGGTTTCTTATAATATCACTTGACACTCTTAAGATTTTAGAAATATTACTTATCTTTCTTCATAATTGTAAAAAGACTATATTAATCCTTACTGGACACATAATTCACAACACATCAAATAAATGGAGCTCAAAAATTAAAAAAAGAAAAAAGAAATAAAAGTCATTTTTTTCTTTTTCTCTTTGCATCATCATTCTCTTTGACTCATTTTTTGGATGACTATGAAATATTTTATTTATAAATTATAATAAATTGAATTTTGTTTATATTTTACTTTTTGTGATTGTGATAAAGTAATATATGATTTATTTGTTTAGTTTGAATTGATTTTTATAATGATTGATACAGTTTAATGGTTTTAGCAAGAGTTGAGAAGATGTTGAAAAAAAATATAAATTCATAAGAAATCGTTTTGAACATATAGAGTTAAATTGATGCAAGTGTATTTCTTTTCAAATTTATAATTTTATGGGGTATAACATTATGATGTGGTAGTACTACAAGAGATTGTTTTTGAGGTGATGGTTTTCTTGAAGTGAACAAAGTGGTCTAGAAATATTTTTATTTAGAAAGTGAAAGAGTAGTTTAGGGTTTTTAAAAATTTTGTTACACAAATAACAAAAGTAAAGGAGGTAAGTGATATTTTTAAAACCTTTGGGATCCCAGGTGATATTAAAAGAAACCTCATGGATGTTTCTCGTGGGTCCCACCTTAGATTGCTCGTTTGGGCCGGTGTGTTCGGTGTTACCTCTGCGTTCTGTGTTAAATTAAGTGTGCGTGTGTTGATTCTGTCTATGGAAAAAAAAAAAAAGTCATACTCTTGTTTTTCCTGGGCAGAGCTCAAGAAATATAGCAGTAAAACTAGTAATTCTTTTGGCAGAGAAACTTAAATTTGTTTCAATCACTCACCTAAGAAAGAAAACTAACACGGATAATTAGTCCCGTCAATTTTTGAGGGTCGGGAAAGAAAGTCATCCTACTACAGATCTTAACAGTGTAGCAGTACAAGTTTTCCTGGACGGGAGTGATGAAACCCGAGTGACCTGTTTCTTATTTTGCTCACTGTCTAGGCTATCTTGATGACCCTGAAGCCACAAAAGCAACCATAGACGAAGATGGTTGGTTACATACAGGTGATGTAGGCTACATTGACGAGGATGATGAACTTTTCATCGTTGATCGCCTTAAGGAGCTAATCAAGTACAAGGGGTTCCAAGTCGCACCCGCAGAACTTGAAGCCCTGCTCCTCGCTAACTCTGACATCTCAGATGCTGCTGTTGTCCCGTAAGTCGAAAGTGATTAATTACCTTTAGACAAAAGGGGTGTCAATGTTGTTGTCATCAAGACAACAGTTTATGTCCTTAATTACCACCATGCTATGTTTTTTGACTATCAAGTGAAAAAGCGATCCTTAGCATCGTTGTTGGTCAATTTCAGAATGAAGGATGATGCAGCAGGCGAAGTTCCAGTTGCTTTTGTTGTGAAATCAAAAGATTCCAATATCAGCGAGGATGAAATTAAGGAATATATCAAGAAACAGGTCATTCCATTATAGTAAAGCTGGATATTCAATCGTTGTTTTTGAGTTTTTGCTGCTTTCAGGCCATTAAATTGGTGTTCTTTTTTGCTGTTTTCCGTGGTGAGCAGGTGATATTCTACAAGAGAATAAACCGTGTGTTTTTTGTTGATGCCATTCCGAAGTCACCATCTGGCAAAATCTTGAGAAAGGACTTGAGAGCAAGACTAGCTGCTGGCGTGCCAAAATAAGCAAAGGCAACAGCAAATTGGCAGCTAATCTAGAGGACATTATAGCGCAAAAACATCTGGATTTTTGATGCAGCACAACTGCAGACAAGGCTCTACAGCTGCCGATTATGGTGTGTGATTGTCGATTTAGCTGCCCTTTCGGAAGAAGAGAGACAAAATATCTGTAAATCTTACCAAGACTTTGTCCAATTTTCATATGCTTGGTGGAATTTCTCTGAAAAAAGAAAAGACAATCACTACTATTTCATGAGGCAATTATTTTATTTTTTTTCCTGAGTGATTTTCTTTTTTCAGTTAGAGGAGTAATTGTTTCGTGTTAGCCATGTTCGTCCCATTGCAATGAATTAGTTATTGGTTCACTTGCACGAGAATTTTGAAGAATTAACGGCACTCGTAAAGTTTGTTTTCAGTTCCACTTCTAAACTTTTTTTTCTTCTCATTTTCTTAACCCACTAGAGGGTAAATTTGTATAAATGAAAGTGACAAAATAGTAATCAACTTAGAAAACCCACACAACATTCGGTGGGTGACTCTCGAAAACGTGCCTTCATCTTGCACTTTCACCCAAAGTATAAAGCGGTACTAATTATTAGATTTGAAAAACACTAGGCCTAGTTGTTAAACCATTGGAGAGCCAAAAAAAAAGAAAAGAAAAAGTGCGGTGTACGCTTTTCAGAGTCGCGAAAAGAGTTTTTCCGAAAGGAAGGTATATTTTCCTTCTTTTTTTTTCCGACCATCTAAGGCCTTGTTTGACAAGCAAGTTTTTGGTTAAGTTTCTCTGCTATAAGTTTTTTAACAACTTTAATTACAGTAATTTCAAAAAACTTCTCAAACTTTTTAAATTATACACTTCAAAATATCCAAGTATTTATACACTTCAAAAATTTTTTCTACATCTTCTACAGTAAAATTTTAGATAAATATCCAAGAAATTGACTTGCGAAACGAGACCTAAGTTTGCAACCTATGAGTTTTTGTATTGTATTACCCAAAAAAAAAAAAAAAGTTTTTGGAGAAATGCAAATCACAAATTCCCACCATAAGTTAATGCCACGGAAAGTTTGAACGCAAGCACGATAAAAAGGGCTTGTCGGAAATTTTGATAAAGCCGAAAGTAACGCGGTTACTTGAACTTATACGCTCGATTTGATAACAAATTGTAGGAAATAATCCAATTGTAATTGTACGGAACATCTTTCAAATTGGCTTGACTTGAAGTCAAAATGTCGAAGATAAAGACACCGAAAAGACGAGTCACAAACAAACTCCCGGAATTCCAATAAGAGAAGGCTGCTTCCAAGGTAAGCCATCTGAAGAATCTACATATTACTCATTTCCTATCCAAAACCCCCATTTTCTAGTAGTTTACTTCATCCTAATTCCTTCATAGACAAAAAATTCCCTTGTTTCTTATGCGTTATGGCTCAAGAACCGGCATTATTGGATCTCTCCTGTGATGATTTTTACTTGTCTGCACTTTTTCGTGAGACGGATGAATTAGATTCGGAAGATGATCAGATTTTTCCCGTATCAGATGTGAAGTATGCTGAAGGATTGCAGTTGCAAGAAGCTCTAGTGGCTTCGATGCTCCCAGAACCGTCTCAGGGTTATTCGACACTTAATATTGCTGCTAATGCTGCATCATCATCATCATCAGCGAGTTTTAAAGTAGAACAGGCAGAGGAAGCAGTGACAGCAGAATCGGGCGAATCTTCACTGAGTTTTTGTGAAATTTGTGTGGATAGAAAAGAAAGTGATCAGATGTTCACGATTCAAAGTTGCGGCCACGTGTTCTGTAACGAATGCATTAGCAAACATGTTGCAGCCAGACTTGAGTACAATGTACACGGTATCAGGTGCCCTGCAGTGAATTGTGGGAGGGCGATTGAGTTTGATTCTTGTAGGTCTTTTATGCCTAAAGATGTATTGGAAAAGTGGGATGAGATGCTTTGTGATGCAATGGTTGATGCATCTCAGAAGTTTTATTGTCCTTTTAAGGATTGTTCGGCGATGTTGGTGAGAGATAGCGATGAAGTTATTAGGGAATCCGAGTGTCCTGTTTGTCGGAGATTGTTTTGTGCTCGATGTCATGTGCCGTGGCATCCTGGGGTTGATTGTGAAGAGCTCCTCAGGCTGAATCAGGATGAAAGAGGAAGGGAAGATCTTATGCTGAGGGAGCTTGCCAAGGCGAAAAGTTGGAACAGATGTCCTAGATGCAAATACTACGTCGAAAAAAATCAGGGCTGCATACACATGACTTGCAGGTCAGTTTCTACTTTCTTTCGGCTAATTGATCAGAATATAGACGTAAAAAAAAAAGGTCAGACAACTACGGTTCTGGCATGGGGGTTGTATAAATCTATGGGTGCCGGGCTGACACAGCCCGGCACCTGACACACCAATTTTTTTTTTTAAAAGTTGTCAGGTGCCGGGCTGTGTCAGCCCGGCACCTGACACCACTTTATTTTTTTTTTAAGTTGTCATAGCCCGGCGCCCATCAAAGCATCCCAAACCAAAGATATCCATTTTGTGTTTTGGTTGAGAAAGGGAGAGACCCGAAAAGTTGTGTTGCATGAAGATTAATTTGAATAGGGCACTATATAATCTGATAAAGGTCAACCAAAATAAAAAATTTGACAAAGAAAGTGTCAAAATTGGCATGGAATTGAATCTAGTATGTACCCTTGCAGAGTTCAATATTATTATAGCATAACTAAGTATTGACGGATTCCAACTCAAGTTGCATATGTTGCTGCTGATTCAGGAAACGGGGTAGCCGGAAATTATACACAGGAAAAAAAAGAGGCAAATAGGAAAAGTAAACAAAATTACTAGCTGGGCTTATTTTAGTTTAGATCAATGAGAATGGTGCTTGTAACTTTTGCTATAAGTATGAGTCAAAATTTGAATCGGTATAGAAAAATAAAAATAAAAAACACATTTGACATTCAACTTTTACAAACACGCAAAAGGTGAAAAAAAAAAAATTTTTGGGTCAAGGCATCTTGACAAAAATTTTTATAATATTTTGGATTGAGCATTATTTCTTCAATTTTATTTGTTTACAACATCATTACAATTTTCAATACACCTTTTTATCTTCCCAATTACCTTTTTATCTCATATACATCACATCACAAAAAGTGTTACAGTAAAAATATCCCAAATAACTTACAATCCAAGCAAATCCAGGCGTCGTAATTAAATTTCTTAAAATATATATCATTTTTCACGGTAGCTCCTAACAATTTTTTTGTCTCGCTTTATCTTGCATTGGACACAATTATACCTATACTATTATTAACTCTTCTTTCTCTGGCATTTTTTTGTTCCTTTTTTGTGGTATTATATTTTCTTTGTCACTTTATTGTTTCTTTAAATTTTCTTCTTTTTTCACAAAAATTGATATCTTAATGATTGAAATTGAAAAAGAGAAACTGTAGAATTCTATCTTTTCCTTAAATGATTAAAAAATATTCAAATCACTTGACTTGAAATACAATTATCTAGTATCCATATTCTTTTAATTTTGAATTTTCCTCTTTCATTTATAGTTTCTCATTTTATTCTCAAGAAAATATCGTAAGGCTGAAATTGTGATATGATTAGTAATTATCAATTCCAATTTGTGACATGTTGCATCATGCAAAAGATCAAACCCCAAACCCTAAACACTAAACCCTAAACCCTAAACCCTAAAACCCTAAACATTAAACCCTAAACAGTAAACTAATTCATTTAAATTCATTTAATCGAAATTCATTTAAACTAATTAAACTAATAACATATACTAAATAACATAAACTAACCTCGCCAAATACATCTAAATTCATTTAATCGAACCTCTTAAATTTAACTAATTCCACAATTAATTCAACTAATTAATCGACTAAACTAATTCAAATAATTGTTTACTAAATAACATAAACTAATTATCAACTAATTTGCATAATAAAGTAAATTGTATTAAACTAATAACACTAATATCTATACTTAAGTTATGCTAAATACATCAATTTTAGTTAAACTAATTTAATTAATCCATTAAACAAATTTAAACAACTGGATACTAAGGTGAGATTCCACCAACTAAGAAGCACCACTTATTAGTCGACATCTCATAAATACAAAAACTCTGCGGCTTCTTAACAATTGAATCAGAAGACAGAAAATTGAATTAGCTTTAAAAAGCTGTCAGGTGCCGGGCTGTATCAATGAAGGGCACCTGACACACCAATTTTTTTTTTTAAAGTTGTCAGGTTTTAAAGTTGTCAGGTGCCGGGCTGTGTCAGCCCGGCACCCATAGATTTATACAGATCCAATGTCAGAACCGTAGTTGTCTGACCTTTTTTTTTTTCGTCTATATTCTGATCAATTAGCCCTTTCTAGTGCTCGTCGCTCCTGTGTTTGGGAATGGTGATTGTACCATTACTTTTATTTTTTTTTTTGTTTCTAGAATCTTGTTGTGGCTTCCTCCTTCTATGACTAGTATGGGTGATCCCTTGATTATCACAGCCTAGCCTAATCACAGAGCATTGTTCAAAGACCAGAACCAGGAACTCACAATCTCCCAAACCTGGTTGAGTGTCATTGTAATAAAAATATGCTTACCACTGATTGAACCATTATAAGAAATTAGCAATTGAAACTTGATGTTTATTGTATCAAATCTTCTTCTAAAAATGTTCCTCCTGCCTCCATTGGCTTCACTTTTTTTTTTTTCTTCTCCAAAACTTCTCAATGCAAAGCCCAATCTAGGTCTAGAATTGTCTGATCCATAAATGTGTTTTGTGTGGCACAAGAGAAAAGGGATAATAGGGAGGAACATAAGAAAGAGGAGAGCTCGAAGAGGTGGAAAGATGTGGGATTTGCAGAAGCAAGTGCAGGGACGTTGCTCTTGATTTGATCCCTGTGGTATATTACTTGATGGTTTTGTACAATAGAGAAGCGCCAAGGAGACTGATAAGTTGCGATAGATAGTTGTCGGGAGAAATTAACTTCCGTATCTTAATTCCAGAATTCATTTTACACCAAGTTATGTAAAAGATTTTCTACCGGAAAAAAATTTTCCTGACCTTTTTGCAGCCAAACACCAGAAATTGAAGAAAATATTTTCTGGAAAAGATTTTCAGTCCAGACAAACAGACCCTGAATCAAAATTATCCATTTCTTTATCTTTATCTGTCTATGCATTCGAGGATCCTGGATGATTCAAACAAACAAATCCTACATTCAATTACTTGAACAGAAACAGATGGGAAGTTGAAAAATGTCTT